AAAACACGGAGGCAGCGCGGGTCCTCGCAGCCCGCGGGTGGTCAGGAGCGCACCGGGTGGCAGGGGTGGGGTCCTGGCGAGATCTGGCACCCATTTGGCAGGTGGAGAAACTGACAACGGGCCGCAGCGTTTGGTGCTCGGTTCCGTCGGCGGTGACTGCGCGGTGTGGGCATGACTGGGTGTCGCGGACGCTGGCTCTCCCTCCCCTCCTCCCCCTCCCAGGTCAGGCAGACTGGAGTTATCTTTCCAGCTGTCCTACCCCTTCCAGCTGTCGCCCCCTGGGCCAAGCCCCTTCCTCCAGCCTCGCATAGCTCCTCAGAATGGGAGAGACGACGGCATCGCTGGGAGGGTTAAATGAGAGGATGCGTGGAGCGCGCCTGGCACCGCGCCTGCACGTAGCCCGTGCTCAGCACGAGGGAGTTGCTGGGGCGCTTGTCATCCCTGTGTACCCCGCATAGAGCCCTCTGCCCGGGTCTCCCAGCCTACTCCTGCTGGGTGCGGGGGAGGGGAGGCTGACTGAGTTCACCTGTCCCCTGGCCCTTCAAGCACGGGTCAGGGGAGGTGTGGGTCAAGAATATCAAAATAAAATAAAATAAAATAAACATCACACTTTAGAGTCAAGGTTGAAATCCGGGACTCTGTATGCAGGCTAGCTGGATTTGAATCCCTGTGCCGCTAATTTTGAGCTGTGTGACCTTGGGCAATTGATTTAACTTCTCTGAGCCACAGATTCTTTATCTGCAAAGTGGGTTGTTTTGAGGCTGAAAGGAGATGATCCTGTGAAGTGTTTAGCTTAGTGTTCGGCACATAGTAATCTTCGCCAACTTTTGTCAGGCATCTGTTATTACCAAGCTTGTTTAGCCAAGTGGGCTGACCCTAAGGCAGCCTGTGAGAATTACCAGTAGCTGATTCACAGGGTGGGGGCATGAGCCTCAGCCCTTGGGCTGCAGGAGACCCAGTCTGACCTTGGGACAGAACCCAGGCTCTGCCCCAGCCAGCTTCCTCTTCTGAAGAGGGGAACCTAGGAGGTTCTGGTGTGAGTTTCCTCTTCTGGAGGGTGGGGTAGCAGATGAGATAACACTGGCCGAGGAGCTGGGCACAGCCCTGTAATGGCTAGTCTCCCATGAGCATCCCCTCTGCTCTTGGTCCTGGCATTTAGAGGACAGGGGCCTTGTGTCCCAAGGACAGCTGGGGCCTGTCACAGAGCAGACGTTCCACCTGCGCCCTGACTGTGCCCAGTAGTGCCCCGTCCTCTCTACTATTTTACGTTCCTAATCAGAAACTGGACAGGAAATGTTTCTGATTTATAAACTGGAGTCTCATGAAGGGGCAGAGCTGGGTTTGTTGGCACAACAAGCCGGTGGCTTTGTTAGGAAAGGGGGTCATGGCTTAACCCCTAGGGGCAGTGCTGGAAGCCCCTGGGGTCTGGGTGATCAGCCCCCTTTAAATGGGGCAGCCCCAGAAGGTAGGAATGGTGAGCTAGTGTCCAGCTGGGCTGGGTGACACTTGTGATATGCTCAGTTAAGTGAGAAGGCGGTAGCAGAGTGTCCCTGAGGAGGGGACTATTTGTGGCATTGGGCCTGGACCGGGCTCTGTACCCTCCTGGGAGTCAGGTCCTTGGGGAAAAGGGATACTAAGAGCTCACTGTCCTCTCTATGGCACCCAGGAAGGCATGGTACCTGGTGTCAGGCAAACCTTATAGCCCCATGGCCCTCCTGTTTTCACATTCATCACTTCTCATACTCCCCACAACTTTGGTGGGTAAGGTCTGGGCCTCATTCCCATTTTGCACACTGAGAAACAGGCCATTAGGAGCAGCTTGCTTGGCTAGGTCAAAACAGCTCACAATAGCAAGTCAAGAAAGAGGTGGGGTGGGGTGAACAAGGGGTCTCAAATCTGCCTTTTGCTGGCTGTGGCCCCCCTGTGCCTTGAGTGTGCAGTGACCCATGGAATGGGCTTAGGGCTTAGTTTGGGGGTGCTGTGAAGAGTCAGGGATAACTGGAAACCCACCTTATATTGGGGAACACTTAAGCTGTGGGCCTCTTAGGGCCAGCAGGACAGTGGGAGGTGTTGGCTATGGGGAGGACTATCTTTTTGAACCCATTGGTGGGCAGAAGGGACCAGGGGTAGGGAGTTCAGAGGAGTGGACTCTGCAGACTGGAGAGGCTGGGCTTTAGGGCTTGTTTTTCCAGGAGCAGTGGGTGAGATTGAGGTCAGGTTCAGACCACCCTTGGCCAAGGGAGGCAGGACCAAGGGCCCATGGAGTGGGAAGGTGGAGGGAGAGTAGAGATTGGCCCTGTATGTTTGGGGGGGATCCAAATCACCTTGGGCTTCCAATGCCAACTTTTGTCCTGACTGAGGGAGCTGGCAAGGAGATGCTACATAGGTTGAGGTGGGGGAATCTGGTTCATCACCTAGCCTCAGAGCGACCGGAGACCACAGGCCCCTAGCTGTGCTTTGGTATCCAAGCTGGCCCAACCCTCTGCACTTGGGGCTCCCCTTCTGGGGTCACATCCTGCTTTCTAGCTATCCACTCAAATGCTCTGTGCCTCAGTTTCCTCATCTATAAAATGGGGGTGACAATGGTGAGCAGCGTTAGCCGCAGGGGTGTTGGGAGGGTTAAATGATTGTATGGAATAAATGTTAACTACTCTGATGATTGTTCTGAGGGGGTCAGGTTTCCTAGGTGCCATCCTGGGTATCTATTCAGCCCAAGCTGTGGCCCTTCCTGTCTCACCTAGGGGCTTTCCTGGATTAAGGTGAAGGGGCAGCTAATTTGCAGAAGACACCTTGGCTCAGAGGGCCACAGGGGTGGGGGGTAGAGGAAGCCCCAGGAGAGGCAAAGCAACCCAGGCCAGCCAGCCTCCCTCATGCTTCAGGTTTCCTCTAGGCTCTGCTTCTTGGAGGCCTCCTCCCCTCCCCGCCGCTCAGCACTCACTCACAGTGACAGCTGCCCCTCCATGGGCCCAGGGCCTAGGATCCATCTGCACACTTTGCTCCCACCCCTAGCCTGTTCTCCCCTGCAGGCTACTGGCTGCCTTGAGTCTGTTCCGACAGACATGGGGACCCATGTCCAGGGTCCTGGGAGTAGCTTAGGAGTGAGGGAGCTGGCTAATGGATGGGTAACTGCTAACTGTGATCCCCATGAAAACAGGGTCTCCTCTGACTCATCACTAGATCCCTGGGCTTGGAGCACTCAGCAGACATCTATTGAGCACCTGTTGTGTGCCAATAATGGGGCTAGGGATCCCGCAGTGGGCAAGATGGTCAATGTTCTCCTCTTTCTGGCTCAGAGTCCACTGCAGGAAGAAGACAGCAGCCAGGGAAACGTGTTCCCTGACCCAAGAGGATGTCAGATAGCAGAGAGTGCTAGGAAATAAAATGTAGTGCAAAGTGATGGTAAGTGTGGGGTAAAGCATCTGGAGCCAGGGTGTTCTGGGACGGCATCCCCCAAGAGGTACCTTCTAAGAAAGTCCCCCCATATTGGAAGGAACCAGACATGGGACAGTCAGGGAGGAACATTCCAGGCAGAAGGAACAGAAAGTGCAGAGGCCTTGAGGTGGGAGGGTGGAGGGTATGCAGCAGCTTGGGGAGGCAAGGAGTTTAGATTCTCTGCTGATACTGGAGAGGGTTCTGAGCAGGGGATGACATAATTAGATTTTTTAAAAGGAGTTCTCAAGGAAATACTTGCTGAGTGAATGAAGGAACAAACAAATGCACTCAGGGGAGGGCCAAGGGAGCATAGGCCAGGCATGACTATGGCCTGGTCACCTGGTTCTGTGCTCATGAGGGTGAGGGGCCCAGACTGGGCTGTGCCCACTCCTTGCCTGGTCAGGGGCAGCAGACACTTGGTAGTGTCTTTTGAGGTTTCCACACCGCTCAGAGAGTCCCTCTGAGTTGGAGGGCTGCCTCTGCCTCGGTTTCCTCATTAGTTTGGGACCACTGGCTTCAGTGGGTTTGGCCCCTGGGGTCCCCCATCTCCAGATCTTGCTGTCATTGTTTGATTTCCCAAACCACCCCCACTCCCCAAACACACACAGACTTCCCCTTCTGAATTGATACTGAATTCCCTTGCTGTCCATGAGCACAGTGGGAGGGCAGGCACCTCAGCAAGCACTGCACCGGAAAGGTCCACTGGAGAGAGGGAGGTGGGGAGGGACAAGGCAGGTAGGTGGTCTTCTCAGCAGGAAGAGAAAATGGAAGTCAGGCTTGGGCAGGGACAGGAGTCACCTGTCCCATCTAGAGGGCTGAGAAGACAGGCTGAACAGGTTTGTGGGAGGATACAGCAGCCCTGATCGTGGAGGGGAGAGCCAGGATGACTTGTGCACTGGGGCATGGGGATGTGCAGGACCACTCATGGAGCACACAGCCTGATAGGGGAGGTGGGCGCTAACCAGATGGCTATATTACAAAAGCAGGGTTGCAAGCTGAGGCTAGTGCCCTGGAGGGAGGAAATGAGTGTAGTTGCAGAACCAAGAGACCCTCCTGGACTGAGGCGTCAGGAGGCTTCCCTGCCTGAGCTGGAGTTAACTTTTTCAGGGTGTTTCAACCTCCACACTGTTGATCTTTGTTGGGGTGGGGGGACTGTCCCATGCTCTATGGGATCTTGAGCAGCATCCCTGCTTTCTATCCACTCAGTACCAGTATCCCCCCACACACACCAGTTTTGCCAACCAAAAATATCTCCAGATATTGCCAAATGTCTCCTGGGGGACACAATGCCCCGCTGAGAACCACTGAACAAGGGCAAGGAAAGCAGAGCATTTGGGCACAGGTACTGGCCTGGGCAGCAAGGCTTGTGGATGCATCATGCCAGGTTCTGTAGGTCACTGTAAGGACTTGTGGGCTTTTCCTCTGGGTGACAAGGGCACTGGCTGCAGTGGGCCCACATGGTAGATCAGGGAGCCGGGAGCCTGTTGAGTGGTAACAGTGGCTTAACCCTGGAGGTGGTAAGAAGGGGGCAGACTCCAGGGATATCACCCGCCTATTGCCCAGGATCCTTCTGCAAATGTGGGCATTGTGGCAGGTGGAACTCAGGGGTTTGTAGAGTTTTCCCAGGGCCTGGTCCCCAGACAGACTCCAAAGTGTTGACCTTCAGGTAGACCTGGCCTTGGGTGAGGGGGGGACTTCCTAGTGTGGATAAAAATTATTTCTAATTAAGGCTGTTATTGCTCAAGGATGGCAGGTTCCATCCTATTGGGCGGGAAAAACTTTCCCTTCCAACACTGTCAGTCTTCTCAAAAAAACGAATTGGAACAGCTTGCTCTCACTGAGTGCCGACTTGGTGCTTTTCCACATCCTCATAACCACACCACCTGGTGTTAGTTACTGTTATTTGCTCTGCTTATGGTGAGATGTGAGAAATAAAGTACAGGGTCTTGGGACCCAGGGGAGCCTGCTAGCTTTAGCACTCCCAGTCTTAGTGGGCTGTTGCTGGCCTCACGTACAGTGAGTCTTCTGCACTTCCCACAGCTGCGCTCTCCTTTGTCCCTCACCAGCCCCATTTACGGGCCTCAATGAGGTGGAGTTGTCTGAGGTTTGGAGGCCAGGAAATGGTGGTCCAGCAATAATAACATCCCCTTCCACCTTCACCCACACCAGCTGATGCTCCAGCTTCAGTGACCAGCGCCCTCAGCTCCTTGCACTTGCCTGCAGGCCCTTTCTTGACTTCAGAGCCTTAGCAGATCCTGTTCTCCAAGGGCTGGCTTTTCCTGTACATCTTAGCATCAGCGTTGCCTCCCTAAGTATGTCCTGCCCCACCCAGTCTAGCATCGTGGGACCTGGTCCCCTATCATCTTGGCATGGTATTTCCGCATTTGTAGTGACATATGTTTGGTGTATTGACCTGTTTGCAGTCTCGCTCCTGCACCAGACGCTGAGCTTGGGTAGGGCAGGGTGGTCTGTCTTGAGTGCCTCCATCTTCCAGGACTTTGCTCCCTCACTTCCCTCTCAGATGGCGTGGTGGACCAGGACTTTTACCAGGAGGCTGCAGTTCCCCTATGGGCAAAGGCTGTCATCTCCTGCACACTTTCACAGGTGTTCAGAAGACTTGGTCACCTGTTCATGAGGGGCTGTTCACTTCCCTGCTGTCAAGTCCCTCATCTCTGGCCATGATGAAGCACTGGCTTTCAGTCCCTGAATTGTTATGAACACCCAGTGGTGCTGGGCTTCTAGAACATTCATCTTAGACCATCTTTTGAGCGTGGGCTGCAGTGCAGTTCACAGGTTGTAGATTCCCTTCTCCCCCACACCTCAGGCTCTGTGGCTGGGCCAGGGTGGCTGCCTGTCTGGTAGCAGAAGCACTGAAGATAGTGAATGGAAGTTGGCCAGGGTGAGTGAGGAGAAGGCTGGTAATATCACAAAGAAACAGTAAAAGCCAACCAGCATGTTTTCATTAGGATGAGGGCGGGATGGTCAGGCTTCAGAACTGATTACAGTTAGACCCTATGGAAGAGCCAAGGTGAGCTCATCAGCTGTTGGAGTGCCTTGCAGAGTCCCCAGTGTAGCCTCATGTCTCTCTGTCTTTCAGGGCTCTTGTGTCCAGCCTGAGTTCCAGCCTCACTGAGCCGGTCACCCCCAAGACCTTCCCGCTGAGGAAGCCTTCCCCAGCACTGACCATGTCTATTATGGACCACAGCCCCACCACTGGTGTGGTCACAGTCATTGTCATCCTCATTGCCATCGCTGCCCTGGGGGCCTTGATCCTAGGCTGCTGGTGCTACCTGCGGCTGCAGCGCATCAGCCAGTCAGAGGACGAGGAGAGCATCGTGGGGGATGGCGAGACCAAGGAGCCCTTTCTGCTGGTGCAGTACTCAGCCAAGGGACCGTGTGTGGAGAGGAAGGCCAAGCTGACCCCCAACGGCCCAGAAGTACACGGCTGAGCTGGGACGCAGAGGCTCCTGAGCCTATTTGCAGGCAGCTGAGAGGCACGTGAGAGGGAAACCACAGACATGCTGCCACTGAGAGGAGGGGTTGACACTTGCTGGCATGGCCTCGCCAGGCTTTTATCGCATGCACTGACTCCTGGGGTCCCAGCTGTCCCAAGCCAGGACTTGGTGGCCCTGGGCATCCCCTCTGCCTCCTGGTGGGGCTGCCCATTGCAGGCAGTGGGCAGACCTAACCTTGCTGGGGTTCAAGGCCCCATAGCGCTTTTGTTACTTGAATGTTTAGCTGAGCCTGTTTTTGATGGAGCTACTACTGTAACGCGTGAACTCATAAACCTGTGAACTGTAAATAGGCCCCAGAAGCACGTGTTTAAACCTTTTTTGCTGATTTTTAAAAATATCAGATAGCTTACATGGGACTGACCCTACTAATGATAAGCTAAATCAAGGCTGTGGGGGAGGGTCTTAGACATGTAAGGCCCAAGTTGCACTTGGCAGGGGCCTCTAATATATATATATGTGTGTGTGTATGTAGAGGATGTGACATGTCAGTTTTAAGTTTCGGAGCTGACAGGTTGGGGTGTTGTGGTGATTTCTGCTTGGTTAGCAATGGATGGAAGAACCATACCACCGGCTCTTTCTCTAGGTAGGACCGGCTGTTAAATACCAGTTCCTGTTGATATTGCAAGGAAGCTACTGCAGCTGCTTGGGAGCCAGTGAAGGACAAGTCAGGGCACATGTCCTGAGGGCTACCAGGCATCCTAGTGGCAGAGCAGTTTCTTGCCCCTATGGTCTTGAGCATGCCGAGCACTCCCTGTCCCCATCCATGTCCAGTTACACCCCCCCCTCCCCCCGCATTAGTGAGTGCAGGCTTCCCAGAGCAGGCAGTGGCTACTTTTATCTGAAACCCATTGGCCCAGGAGAAAAAAATTGTGGTTTTTATTTGTTGTTGTATTTAATATTTTCTGCACTGGAGGGGAGGGGGAAGGGACTGAGTTTTCCTCCACTCCCTCCCTTTTCACAAATCAGTTTCCTTTCTTAAATTACCACTCACCTGCTAGGTACTAGATTTTACTCTCCTCAGTGGATCACCTAGGAGAGTCCCCTGACTCCACTAGAACACCAAGTGCGGTAGAAGGACATTTCTTATGTGCATGTGTACACAGGAGCCCCAGATGTTCCCTGACTGCCTGTGCTTAGTGAGAACCTGGGGGGACTGGGTGGGGGAGAGGGAGTTTCAGGTTCTGAACTTAAGTTTTCAAAAAGATAAGGAGTTAGTGGCTCCTGGATCAGGCCAGCGCCTCCACAGCCTGCCATCTCTAAGGTGTCCCTTGTGTGAACTTGCTTAGATTTTTAATCCCACCCCTATAAACACATTCTTACTATCATGCTTAAACCATGACTTGTATCGGCATTCTGGGTAATAAACTGTAGGCCAGCCCTGGCTTAATCTCGGTGAACTGGCCCTTAGCACTTGAATGGCCTAGCAGCATGGGCATGGAGCTCCCAGGGGCTCTCAGCCTTGCTCACCAGCTCCCACCACCATCAGAGCCCTGGCCTCGGGGTCAGGCTGAAGGCGGATTACCTATGGCCTCATTCAAGTCTCTAAAAAGCATGTTAAACTAATCTACTTTCTAGAACCCCAAGAAGGGCGCTTAAGGAACATTTATTTTAGCAGTATATGCCTAAATTGGGGTCAAACATTAAGTAATAGCTTGGGGGGAGGGAGCAGGGTAGCTAGTTAGGCAGTTTGAGCCAAAGACAAGAACAAATGTCTTTGGCCCTAGCTCCAGATGCTCAAGCATGAGAATTAGGCTGGAGACCAGCAGAGGCCCTACAGGCTGGGAGGAGGAGACAAGTTCCAAAGGTGCCAACTTGAAAATCAGGGAGAAGGTTTGCTTTCTAATGAAGGATGCTCATGAAAAAAATGGAAGGTGTTTGATCCATTCCTCTTGCATTCCAGAACTTCCAAGCTTTCTACCTCTACTTTCTGCAGTAGCAGCATACACCTAGGCTGTCTTTCACCCTAGTAACCCAGGAGCACCTGGGACTTGCATTTTCAGTCACTGATCCTGACCCTGAAAAAGACCATCACGTGACTGTCAGACTTGCCCTGAGGTTTTTACTGTGCACCAGTGAAGTTTGGGTTTTGAAATGCTGAAATGTCACTTTCTCCTTAGTTCCACTTTTGGAAGTTCTTTATTCCACTCCTTGGTTGCCAGGGATGACATCTTTGCAGCTTGAATCTGGCTCATCAGCAAGATGGCAGTGCCAGGTGAAGGTCACAGGCATGGTGGGGCACTCTTGGGGGTCTTTGAGAGGAAAGTGAAAGTGCCTGTAGAACTGATGAACCACCACATAATAGCTCTCACTGTTCTTATTTATCAATAGCTACTTTTTTTTAGTGTAGACACCAGAGCCACACACTCAACTGGCTTAGTAAGTTATGACCTCTCATTGAATTCTTTCTGAATAGCCCACTGTTGTATTCAAGTTTCCTGACTAGTCAGTCAAGAAATTAACATTTCATCCTGTATGTCATCACAGAAGCAACAGTAGGAGAATGGGGAGGGAACTCTGACACTGAGCCACTAAAATATGGACTGATTTTTCAGATAAACCTTCAAATGGACTGTGCTACTGTTTTTGTCTCAAAGTTACCAAGTTTGTGCAATAAGTGGAAGGGATGTCATCCCTGTTCAATAAAAGTTGAATGACGTTCACATTGATTTTCTAGACCACTGAGAAAATCTTTATTTACAATAAATTTCAATAAAATTTGCATAAATATATTCCCAATGTACAGTTTTCACCTCTGATTTCTTCATGTCATTTAAAAAGTTAGTCTGTCCTATTCTCATTGCTTTTTTCAGCCGCCAGCGGGGAGCTGTTATTGGCAGGTGGGGGGGTGCTGCCAGGTAACTGGGGAGCCCCTGAGGGCTCAGGGTAGTCAGAGTGCACCTCCTCCGGGGGAGTGAGATCTTCATCTCTGTCCCTGCCCTCCAGTTTCCGCTCCATGGTCGCCACCAGGATCTTGAGCCACGTGTTCTCGGTGAGCAGGTTTTCTGAGGCATCAGCCAGCTCCTGGAGCTTTTGGGCCACCTCCTCCAGCTCCCTGGTCTTCTGCTCATACAGGGCCTGCAGCTGCTCACTGTGCAGCTGGAGCAAGCTGTGCTGCTGCTCTAGGGTCTGCTGCTGCTGCAGCAGCCGGTGCTCATCCCTGCGTGCACTGGACAGCTGGGCCTCCACCTGCATTTGTGCTTGCTGCAGGGTGCTGATTTCGGCCCTCAGCTTCTGGATCTCTCTCTCCAAATGGGAGATGTGCCCCTGCTGTAAGACTGCCTCACTCTGAAGACACTCTTTGGTCGGAGGGTTAGCCAAGTTCTGGGGGACAGAAGCAGGGTCTGAGTGATGCAAAATGAACCTCAGCAGGTTTGGAAGGGTGATGGGAAGGTCTTCAGGGTATTTCACACTTAGGTCCTTTCTGAAGAGAAAGGGAAAGGAGTCAAAGATGAGAGTCACACCAACATGTTTAGTCGAAAACCAGACTGCTACTGAAGGTCAGACCATTTATTTCCTACAGAAGACATTCTGAGAATTGGACTTAACTGACATTAGCAAGGAAAAGTTATCTGGGCAAAAAATTTCCTACAAAGTTGAGGATATGCCACATGCTCATTCAGTAATTAAGGTGGCTTATCTCAAACATGTCTGTGACAAAGAGATCAGTTTCTATTTACAACCTTCCAAGAAAGACGAGAGCTCCCAGGCCCAAGTCTAAAGCCAGTGATGTAGAACACTGGGGCTGTATGGGCAGAGTGGCCTCTGTATGCTCTGAGAGGCCCAGAGGCATGTCAGGAAGGATGTTCTGGGGCAGGGCTATCACCCACATCATTCCTGTGGCCATCAACAGTGCTTGGTAAAATAGGAAAAACCTGAAACAGCCCGGTTTCTTCAAGCCTTTATTCCATATTATCCATCTAAGGCAGGAGTTCTTAACTTGGGGTGACTGTACCACCAAAGCACATTTGGCAACATCTGGAGACATTTTGATTGCCATGATGGGGAAGGGTGTTACTGGAGCCCTGACCTTTGACAAACAGACCAACTCAGAGACTGAGGAACTGAAGCTACCTGGCCCTGAGAGTACAGGATAAGGAGGGAGGGTGTCATATAAAGGGGGTTTGCCCCAGAGCTTCACTGCAAGTCCGTCTGTAGAAAATTCCTTTTTAGAACTTGTCATTTAATTGTCTGATGAGCAAATTTCTACCATAGATACATTTCCCTGTGTAATCACAACCTGGCCACAATACATCACAACCACTAGCTTTATGTATGAGGTAGACAAACAACGGTTATCGTCGCCTTTGAGTATTAAATGGAGGTTAAAAGCAGGGCCTCCGGAAGTCGACTGCCTAGGGCTGACTGAAAGGGCTACTGCTCACTGTCAGGAGCGCCCAGACAAGTGGCTTCTCTATGTCCCTCATCTGTAAAGGGGTAATAAGAGTATCATCTCCTTCACAGAACTGCTGTAAGGATTACATGAGTTACCCAAATGCTCAGTGAATGTTAGCTTAAAAAAAAATCGCATTGTTCCTTAATAAAACCAGAAACCATTCAATAAAAGCTTGCACACCCTCTCTGCACATAAAGCCAGTGAATACCTAACAAAAGACAAAAGGTGTTCTACTAATAGGTAGTCCTTTACCTGGAAACCAAAATCACAGGGAAATTAAAATCAGATATGCCCCATTTTTATACAACATTAATGGAAACTTCCAGGTAAATGGAATAATTTCAGACACTTTGGGGATAAGTATATAACCATGCCCTCCTTTAAAGCAGTTTTCTTAACATGCAGGCTTTCTTCACGTGGGGCTTCCCAGCCATTCGATAGACAACTAAAATCATCCTGGCCCCTGTGGACAAGGAACAACAAGCAGAAGGGGCTGCTAAGTTCTGCAGCACAAACCTGGCCTACGGCAGAGAGTAAATGTGAATTAATCCCTAGGGAAAGAGCTGCTGAGAGACCTGTGTATGTATCTGGAGACAGTTACAGGACAGAAAACAATATATCTAAGCATGTCATTTTAGAGTTCCTGGAGCAATCTCCATGAATCTACCTGATGGTTACGCTAAAATGCTTCCAAACTTTTTAGAAGTAGCAAGGACACAGACTGTCAACAAACTGCTTCCAAACTTTGAAAGTGTTGTGGTAAAGGTCTCACTGTTTATCTGACTCTCCTCTAAATTCACTAGGAGCATGTTTATGCACCTTTGGCACATAAAAGGCCAAATATAAAAATGACAAATGGGGTATAAGGCATCTACTCCAAAGAAGGGGCTATCACACTGAGGGAGGGTAGGCCTGTTCCTCTGAAGAAGTACAATCCTTCCCCAGGGGACACATTAGAGTGAAACCCTCCACCCCCTTCTGATCTAACCCAGGGTTGGGATAAAGCACCTATATTTTGAAATGTCACACAGAGTGGTGGACGGAAGAATGGCTCTAAGATGTCCCTGAACAGGAAGGCTGGACCAGCCAGGAGCAGGAGGTGGCCTAGGTTGCAAACTGTCAGAGGACAAGCTCTTTTATATGATTTTCCTTTTATTGTTATAAGATGTGCTTACTGTAGACAATTTGCAAAGGATGTAAAAAGCATACAAAGGCACCACCAGATCACTTGTAATCCTCACTCCTCCAAAATAATCATTGTCAACAACTTGACATCTTTTCTTCCCTTATGTACACATTTTAACCAGTGCAAATTTATATTTTATCAAAACACATGCACGTTCATATTTTCATTAAAAATAACATAAGCATGTGTACCATGAGAAAGGTCTTACTCCATGTTATCAATCAGTATTTTTCATTTCCTCTTTTGTGAGCTGTCAGCTCATATCCTTTGCCTATTTACCTTTTGAGTAAACTGAACACTCACTTTGGACCTGCTTATGAGGAGCTTACTTCACTTCTGACTATCATTTATTTTGAGGAAATAAGAACAATTCCATTCCAAAGCAGTAATGCTTTGGTTTATCAAGCAAGCTCTTTCCATTAAACTAGAACTGGACAGTTTCATGTTCAATATTTACCTTCTTGACTTTTCAATTGAAGGAATATAGTAAGGGGCTGCAGCGACCCTAACTCAGGTCTAGAGAACAATCACACCTCCCTGTTGACTATATCAGGCAACTTTAGAATGAAAGGCACTCAAGCCAGACTTGGGCCCCCAAACACACAACTCCCCACCACCAAGTCTCTGTGTGTCTTTCCCTGTCTTTCTTAATACATATTCACGGATTCTAGTTGCTGAGAACTTCTTTATGCAAAGTCCAGTGCTGGATGTTATGACTTTAATACTTTTCTAAACTGTGTTTGGAATTCCAAAATTATGCTTCATTAAAGTTTATGCCCAACCTCTGTCCCACACAGATGAAATTGCTAGTGTTACTGTCCATGATTCCATGACTGTGTGGCTCTTTAAAGCTTCTTAGAAAGAAAAAGGTCACCAGCAACACAATCAGCAGCAGAACAGGGTGAGTCACGCTCTCTTTTTAGTGTGTGATTTGATAAGACTCCACTACCACAGGAAGTATTCCAGAAAAAATTCTTTGAAATAAAGAGGAAAAAACAAGGAAATGATTCAGAATGTGTGAAGGAAGCACTCTCCTGACGAAACACGAAAAGCATGGCAGTAATAAATGGTAAAAGTGATCACAGGAAATTAAAACAGTAAATGTAACATGTGAGTTAGGTACCTCACTGAAATAGCCCAGCAAATGCTTTTCCCCAGTAATTATCAAAGTCATGTGACTGGGTTCCCAAGGACCCATCCTTTTAAAAACAAAAGGGAAATCTGTAAAAAGGTAGAGAACATCTGGTTTATCAACTTTGAAAGGCCAAGAGGTAATTTCCTTTTCTAGCAAAACATCGGAATCCACATTTGCAAACTGCCAAGTCATATCCCTTATGCTAATGTCCCACCCCTGCTGGCTGGTCTTTCAGGGTAGTTGCAGTAATCACTGAACTTGGAGTACCACTCAGACAAATGTGAGGAGATCCAGGTGACAACCCTGTCGCAGATGTTCACAGAAGTCTGCAAATTTGGGGGGAAGGCTCCTTGACCCCTATTTCCCCCTTGCATACGAGAGGCATAGCTAGTTTTGGGCAAGGTTCAACAAGAAATGACACACATGAAAGCTTGGGCAGGCGGGGCCAAGAAACCCCATAAGGCTCAACAGATACCTGTTGTTTTGCCCCACAGGAGCTCTTTGCTGTCAATCTTGGCATCCACTGTATGCTCATGAGGCCAAGAAAGTGGATGAGTTCTGATGGTGACATCATTGCTCATGTAAAACACACACTCTGGGAGGGGCAAACTTCTTTCAAAAAAAAAACCAAACACCACAGCTGATACTGTGACACCAAAACTGTTTCACCTTTCATCCCTAATGGCACATTTTTTGAACAACACATTTTATTCAAAGCAGTTTAGTAATAACTAATGATTTACATTTCGCTTCCATGAAATATCTTAAACCCATTTCACTTTCAGCAAAAGAATCCCATCTGCCCAAATATTGAAAAAATTCTGCATTACCTGTTACAGGGAAAAAATAAGACAGTAGGAAGACGGTCAACCATAAATTCCCAAGGAAGATCATTCTGAGATACATCAATCCTAGAAAAAGGAAAGAACAGAAAAAGTAAAAGACTCGCCAA